ATTTTTATAGCCACATATTTTTTAAAAATATTATTGGTATATAATTAGCTTCTAGAGTAGTACAATAAATGCTTCATGTATATTTAATAGTTTTATGGTGCAGTAACTTTATAATAAAACAATGATAAAAGATTGAATAATAAAAATAATATAATTGTCTTTTTAATTTTAAAATAATAATAACACTACTATTTTACATATCTAAAAAATATTTAGTTTTGAACAAATCTAATAACATCTTTTTTTTGTTTTGGCATGACTTGATGCTATATTACTACCACTTTATAATACCCGTGTAGCTAAATACATTACATTTCCAGCTACTAAACATGTTTTTTATTTTGTTATTATTGTAAGTCATTAAATGATGGGTTACCCTTGCAAGCACTAAGTGATTGTTAGTGTTGGAATAAATTTCAAATAAGCTATTCCATAATGTAATAAAAATTTTAATACAGCAAAAACTTATTACTTAGGCAGCAAGGTTAACACTTTTTAATTAATATTTTGTCAACTTTATCAAAAGCAAGTTTAGGTAAGATACATTCTCTGTCTTCATAGAATACATAAGCGATATGGTTCCACTGCATAAACTTACCATTCTTACATATATCTTTTCATGTATATTATGATTTATGTATGATAGTGATGCAATATTTGGTAGAAGGCTTTTGCATCATCTTTATTGCATCAAGTATATATTTTTTTATTTGCTATTATATAAATTGCAATACAGCATAATAAAAACAAAAATTTATATACGAGCTTTTGAATTTTAGTTTAAATATACTTTGATATACTTGCTATTTTTAAAGTATTTATTAAAATTCTAATTTTTTTTACTGATTAAGTTTTTTACTTATTAATAAAAATAGAAAAACATTTTTGCACAACATTTATTATTAGTATAGCACTTGTAAAAAAGGTAGAAGTTCTATCATAGGGTAGAATATGTGATATGCACATAGTAAGGTAAAATCTTCTACCTTTCAAGGTAAAAAATTATATCTTTAAAGCTAAAAAAATTTTTCTTCGTAAGGTAGAAAATTAAACAACAAATCATTATTTTTAATATAATTTAGGTAATAATTAAGATATAATTTTCTCTCTAAGGTAGATAAATATGTTGTGTTGAGGGTATAACACATATCTTTAAAGACACCAACATTATCTAATTTAGCTTTGAAACCATTTAAAATGATAAAATTGTACCTGATTTTTACTTGTTTCCAGAAAAAATACCAACATAGTGTAAAGAGTGATATATAAATTATTAACTAATCCAGCTAAGTAAACTATATATAGAATATAGAGTTTATTAAGCTCTATCAGCTAACATTTTAAATAAATATACTCTGAATATAATACAAAGCATTTATACCCATATGCATCCATCAAGTTATACAGTCAATGAAATTTTGCATCTATAACATATTTTCATATAGTATATAACTATAGTATATAGTATATAACTTAAATGTTTATATGATATAAGCTATATGGTTGAATAAGCATATTTATACCACTACAAACTCTACCACATAACTACATTTATCAACAGTTGATGTCTTTATTTTATGTTATATTCATCATTTTTATTCGGAATACGAAATATATATGCAATCCAAAATATTAACTTGAAATTGACTAACCAAAAAAATCACAATTTGCTCATGCCATTTCAATATTTATTCCAGAATATATGTAACTTATCTATAGCGAAATACAATGTTTACAATTTGATGCACTCTAAAGTAGGCTGAGCAGTAGTATAGAGAGGAACTTAAGTGTTTTAAGAAAACAGCCCGCGTTTCCAGACTAGTTAAATACTATGACTATGGTCAAACACAATTTAAGATCTACAAAACAGATTTTATAACACATCAATTAAATATAATTAGAATAACTTAAGTTCATTTAACCGTATTTTATAATGGCGTGATTGACGTCAATTATTTAGTTCAAATACACAGTTCTTAAGAGTATAACAGTAGTCGTGCAACAAAATGTAATTATAGCGTGATTAAAATAATCTAAACATACAAAAGTGACAAATATTTATGAGATCTAGTTCCAAAGCCTAATTTCATATTACACTGAGCAGAAACCAAAGTTTATTATAAAATAAAATATAGCAAAAACATTTGCTAAAAAATATAATCATTTTTGTACTAAAAAGTAGAAAATAAACTTTTTAATTTAAATTTAATAGTTCAGTAAACTAAAGATTGACAGGTCTGCACAAGACTTATATAGAAACATACCTGTCAATCTTTAGTTTACTGAACTATTAATTTTAAATTAAAAAGTTTATTTTCTACTTTTTAGTACAAAAAAGATTATATTCTTTAGCAAATATTTTTACTATATTTTATTTTCTACTTTTTAGTCTTTACAGAGAGTTACTATATTTAGTAATGCGTTTGTCAAGATATTTATAATTAAATCAAATTTTTTATCCTTATTAAAAAAACAGAGTATTTCCTGATTAAAGGAGCAGAATATTTTTTTTATATAAAATTTTTTTATATCAAAGTAAAATAATATAAAGTACAAATATTTCATTTGCATTGCCACCCTCGTCCTTCCACATATGTAGTATATTTTTTCAATTTTATTTAAAAAAAAAATTTTTTTCAAAAAAAAAGATTTAAAAAAAAATACAAACCTACAAGCAATCTTAGCCAAAAAATGAAAAAATATATTTATAAAAGAGAGTAAATCATATTAAAAAAAATTACAAACCCACAAGGAAATTAATCCTATTTTAAAAATGAAAAGATTTGTTAATGAAAAAAGATTACTTTTAAAAACAAACCTGTAAGCATTTTAATAGTTAATCTCTATTTTAAAGGTTAGTATTTTGTGCACCAAGGATGACAAAGAAGGTTGAGGAAGAGTTTATATCAAGTGAAAGAAAAGATTGTAAAAATGATATTTTGATAACCAAATTTCAATTCTGGCCAATCAATTTTAATTGTCAAGAATTGCAAGAGAAACCTAATAATGAAAAATTTAAATACCTTCAAAAGCAGAAAATTGAAATTATTAAGTTAGATTTTAATGTTTTTGATTACTGGAATAAAAATAGTTTTAAGAACAATTTTAGAGTATAAAAAAAAAGCATGAGAATATTAGTATAAAAAAGTTTACATGATTTCTTCTGCAATTATATTTGGTTTAAATGTTTTTATTTTTCTCTAATTAAAATATGGAATGAAATATCTTGGGTTTTTTGATTAGCCATTTTTACAAGCATGGTCAATATTTTCATGTTTATATAATATCTTAAAGAAATAAGGAAAAAAAAAGTTTTTGATCTGCTTTTAAAATTGAAAAAACTGCAATAAAAATTAAAGAAAGTAAATAGATAACCCACAAACTTGAGTAAAAATATTTTTAATGGTTGTTTTAACCGTTACTTTTATTGTTTAGAAAATATTTAAAAAAAAACAGTTTTTCATATTTTTGTACAGTTAATATAAAGCACGAATTTTGTTGATTAATATTATACTCCAATCAACATTCTTGTAGGTTCAAGGTTTTTTTACAATTTTTTTCCTTTTGACTATTGACAAACAATAAACAGCTGTGTTAATCTTGAAACTTCAATGAAAATCTGCTATTACAAAATATTGCCTGATTTTCTATTATCTATCATAAACCTCACCCACTCCCCACCCCCGAAAAAAACAATGCTTGTCCAGGTAATTTGATCTTTTGAATAATTTAATCTAGTTTTCAAACTTCTTGCAGATATCACCAATTTCTTAACTGGATGAAGGTAGTTTGGAAAAACAGAGGTGATTTTGATGGGCTAGAAAAATACTTGCACATTAGGTGAAGTAAAGGTAGATGATTTGAATAGTTACTAATTAAAGAATAAAGGTTTGAAAAATTTGAGGGGGTGACTTAAATTTAATAAGTATGAAAGGGTATCTGATGATTTTGATCCAATAAGATCATCATCATCAGTTAACTTTTTCATCTTTATGATCAAAAGAAATCTAAATTGATAGAAACTTCTTGTCCCAGTATCAGTGGTCACAAATCTATCAGTGTTTCTCAAACATGCTCTATTTAAGTAACATTTTAATAAAAATGAAATCTTTTTTTAAACTTGCAATATTTACAAATATTTTAAATTTTTAACATTGTTATACTTTTTTAAATATTTGGACTTAACGTCTCTTCTTTTACTTGAAAAAATTTGAAGCATCTCCATAAATTAATGAAAGTGTAACCCATGGTAACAGCAAAAAATTTGTTTTGAATTTTTTAAAAACAAAAAATTATTAAAATTTTGAGTTTTGTTATTTTCTTTATTTCTTTGGATTCATCACTCAAAAAACACAAACTGGTCAGAAACAATTTCTACTAGAACTTAAATTATTCATTTTAAGGTAAAAAACTGCAAAACACTTTGGCAAGCAATTAATCACTGAATTGCTGCTTTAGCTTATTGTCTACCCACAAGGAGCTAAAGGGTTGCTACCCCTTTCAAGCGAGATAAAGAAAACTCATTTACTTTGTGTAACTAATTTAATCCTTATTTGAATATTTTCTCGCTGCAGCTTATCATTATTATAAAATCCATAATGGCAGAAAAAATAGAGAAATATGGGCTTAATTTCAAAGTCTCATAATATTTAAATTTGGGAGATAAACTTGACATTTTTTCATGTTTCATTGATAGTTTCATTGATAGTTCTAGTGGTTAAAATTTAAAGAAAGTTTGAGGAGAGAGTGAAATTTTTAAATACTTTATGCTAATTTTTCATGGATATTTTTTTTTTTAAATTAATTTGAATCTATTTTTTTGGTGCAACAGGAAAATTATTTTTGTAGAATAGTGTTCACTCAATAACTCAATAAAAGTTATATTGTATTTGTTAATAACAAATGAAAGCATTATTTTATTTGTAAAATTATTAAAATGAAATAAGTTTTTTTTTCTTTCTTTTAATTCATTTTAATTTTGAAAATTTTCATTTTTTAAGATTGAAACCATTAGACATAGCTATGATGAAAGCATTACATGATAAAGTTAATATTGTACCTGTTATTGCAAAAGCTGATACACTTACACTTAAAGAAGTAAAAACACTAAAAGAAAGAATACTTGATGAAATACGTCGTTCAGGAATTCAGGTTTATAGATTTCCTGATGATGATGAAGATGATGAAGAAGAGTTTATTGAAGTAAACAGACAGTTAAAGGTAATTTCTAATTCAAATCTTTTTTATTTTGGTTTATTTTGGTTTATTACACACATACACACACACACACACACACACACACACACACACACACACACTCATGCACACATTATTATGCTCGGGTTAGGGTTAAAAACCCTGAACCTAACCCTAACAGCTTTAATTTTACTTTATAAAAATGCTGAAGAGCTACTTAATAAATGAACAGTTAATTTCCAAATGTTGTCACAAAAATAATTTCTATTAAGCAACCACAAACCTAATGATATTTGCGATTGTAAAAATAGTTTTTCTCTATAGGTTTTTCCTGTGTAGTTTTATGTAACTAGTCCCAACTGTATATAACTTTTTCACAAAAAAATTATATTTGTATTTCACCTGATAGTTGCAACAGCATGAAACTTAAAGTTGTGAAAATCATGTAGTTTTATTTTCAACTATATTATGACTTATAGCACTCTGTACATCGAGCACTTTGTTGATAGTATATGTACAAAACAGCATCACTACATATATATTTATATATATATATATATATATATATATATATATATATATATATATATATATATATATACATATACATATAATATATATATATATATATATATATATATATATATATATATATATATATATATATATATATATATATATATATATATATATATATATATATATATATATATATATATATATATATATATATATATATATATATATATATATATATATATATATATATATATATATATATATATATATATATATATATATATATATATATATATATATATATATATATATATATATATATATATACAACCCTCAAAATTAGAAAAAATGAGGTTAACAATAATTTGCTGACCTCAATGTTTTTGAGGTCGGCATCAGGTCGGCAAAATTAATTTGACACAAAGGTCTGACCATAAAACATAGAAAAATGAGGTCAGCAAAAAATTGCCAACCTGAAAGTGTTGCCGACCCTAATACCGAGTGATATATGTATATACATATATATATATATATATATATATATATATATACATATATATACATGTGTGTGTGTGTGTGTATATATATATATATATGTATATATATATATATATATATGTATATATATATATATATATATATATATATATATATATATATATATATATATATATATATATATATATATATACAATCCTCGGAATTAGAAAAAATGAGGTTAGCAATAATTTGCTGACCTCAATGTTTTTGAGGTCGGCATCAGGTCGGCAAAATTAATTTGACACAAAGGTCTGACCATAAAACATAGAAAAATGAGGTCAGCAAAAAATTGCCAACCTGAAAGTGTTGCCGACCCTAATACCGAGTGATATATGTGTATATATATATATATATATATATATATATATATATATATATATATATATTATATATATATATATATATATATATATATATATATATATTAAATATTTAAATGAAAAAAATACGACTTTTTTATGGGACTTCAAGTTTCATGCCATTCGGCAATCATTCAGCCATATATTTAAAAATCATTAAAATAAAAACCGTTATAAAAATACAAAATTGCGTTGCAGCGAGATCAAACGTCAGTTTTCACGCCAAACGGGAATTTATTTAACCGGTGTCGAAATTCGATAGCAAAAACTTTTTTCTGTACCTACATGCTGAAACCAATTCACTTTTTTTATTTAACAAAGGTTCTTTATTGTATGTTGAAATAAAATATTTCTCATTTATGCAAAGATTACATCTTTTTGAGGATGGGTTATAGGGTTGACATTTTTTAACAATACTCCACTTGATTATTGGTTTAATGCCTGCTTGCTTAAGTTTCCAGATCTCTTTAGAAAGTTCAGTGTCATTTTTATACCTGACCAAGTTGAATGATTTTATGTGGTTTGCAAACCTGATCTTAAAGGAGTTTTCGCTAATACCAATATAAGATTTCTTAGCGTGGTTGACGTTCGCTGGTGTTACGGTAGCTTTGTAAACAATATTTTTAGTTAGACATTGATTTTCTAAAGGACACGCAGCTCTGTCTATACAGTTGCATTTTCTAACGTTTTCGGTATTTTGGTTACGCAAAATGTGTTGGTTGTGAGACTTAATAATAGTACTAATATTTGGCATGCAGCTGTAGCTTATTTTGACGGTGTTTCTGTTAAAAATCTTGTGTAGCCTGTGGTGTGCTGGAAAATGTAAGTCGATTAAGTTCAAGAAAAGGTTTCCTAATTTGGTGACAACATTCTTACTAAAAGGGGGATTAAACCATATGATGCTTCGTTTGCGTTTATTAGTATGATGATTAGTTTTTTGTAAATTTAAATTAGGACGATATTGGATATTGCTGCTATGTTCAGACTTTATAAGGGCTTCTTTGTAAATAGAAGAAGAGTTTTCGAAAATTATTTTGCTGGAGGAGTTTGATGATAATCTTTGTTCAATAGAGGTCGGCAGCTGTTTTAAAATACTTGGTGGGTGGTTAGAGCTGGCATGGATATAGTTTAACAAACTTTTAGGTTTATGGTAAGGTTTGAAGCTGCAGTCATTAAGATTTAATGTAATATCAAGATAATTCACAATTTTTATGTTGCATTTAATAGAAATATTAAGGCTGTTACTTTTAAATATCTGAGTTATATGTTTTTTAACTTTTTCCATTTGTGGACCGATGGCGTTTTTAATTACGGCCAACCCATCATCTCTATACAGCCTAAACTAAACCGACAAAAAGCTGTATTAAATCCAACAGAATACAACACAACTCAATAATAATAATATATATATATATATATATATATATATATATATATATAATATATATATATATATATATATATATATATATATATATATATATATATATATATATATATATATATATAGGGCTCAATTTAACGGTCGAACATCGTCTGGCTAAAACCTCAGATTATCCGATCAATTTACAATGTAATTGGACATTTTGACCAACGGGAATTAAATTCTCAGACAGGAATGACGTGTGATCGAACGCTATTGCTGACCACGCAAATGATTTTTTTTTTACAACTTGATCGCGACTGTTTATATGTTTAGTTTATATGTTAAACTAGGAAAAAAATCTAAAAAAGGAAAGGATAAGCAAAAAAAATTCCTTACAAAAACAAAAACAAATTAGCTTTAAAATAAAACTATAAAAACTCAAAGTGAAAATTACTTTTTGTTACATTTTTAATTTTTAAAATTTTTTTAAAATTGCATTTGAAAAAAATTACTTTAAAACTTATCTTTTAGACATTTAATTTAAGTTACGCAAAATGCAAAATTTACAAATTACTTTTATTGATTGATGATTATTGATATGGATTTCAATTTGAATTTGATTTTATTTAGAATCAATAAATTTACAATCAAGAATAATTTATCTTTTTCACTAAATTCAGTAATACTGTAAATTAGTCAATCATTAATTATAAAGTATATTGAGGAAGAGATCCAACACTAGGCATCTCTATACTATCTAATGTGTAGGGCAAATTGTCCATGAGACAAGTTGTCCATCATGATAGGAAACTTTTGAATAAGTTGACCGTGTGAGTGTCAATTGCTTCTTGTGGTAGCAAATTCTTGGATGGTGTGACGCGGTTAGTAAAAAAGTGATGTCGCTCTTCGCAGTCGCTAACAATTTGTCTGTGCAGCTGTTTGTTATGACTTCTCCTGCTATATGTGTTGTTAGAGAACCTTTGAGGAACAAAAAAATTAACATCATCAATTTTATTCAGATTTTTAAACTGTTCAACAAAATCTCCTCTGGCTCTTCTCTTTTCCAATGTTGTCAATCTGAATATATTTAAATATTTAATATATAAAAATATATAAATGAACAAATTTTATTTAAATTATTGAAAAGAAAAAAATAATTGTTTAAAAAAAGTTAACTAAAAGTAAGTCTTTTTAAAATCGTAATTTTTAATCATTTCATACTTAAATTAGTAAGTCAAGTTTAAAAAAAAAACTTTTAAACATAAAAATATTAATATTTGAATATTAATATTTTAATATTCATGTTTCATTGATTTTTGTAAAAATAAAAAAAAGATAAAAATAAAGCAGTTAAATCATGGAAAAATTTAATTTTTAACTTATTCATAATTTAACTTGAAAAAAACTATGTTTTAAAAGATTTTAAAAAAGATATGGAAAAATAGTTCTAATTGTTTAAATTTATCATACCTACTAAAAAAATAAATACATACCTACCAAAAGAAATAAAAACCTGGAAAAGTCAGGGAATTCTGGAATTTTTTCTTACTTTAGATAGTCAGGGAATTCTGATTGAGAAATTACTTGTTTTACAATTAAGCTATTATGTTTTTGTTGGTGCTACTCATTTATTTTGACAGTTAAAAAGTAGCCCACATGTTTTACAGGAAGGCATGTGATTGTACACTTTTGTATGACCACATATATAATATTTTATTTTTATAATTAGACCAAGGCTTTTTAATTTTTTTAAATGTATTTGTATTATGCAAAACGCTTTCAAATCAAGTAACAAATTACTTTGTTTATTACTAACTATTGTTTTCAATTAACACATTTTATTTAATTTATCTATGGTTGATATTGAATAGTTGCTACGGTTGTTATTTTATTATTAAAATAATAATAAATGTTTCTTTTTTTTATTTATTATAAAAAAATATTATTTCTTTCTACATTTTTTTATTATCAATTTCAATCATTTAAAACTATTTCTATAATTTATTTTATAAACAACTGCAACTTTAACTTTAAACACTTTTGTGTCTTCAAAGCAAAAAATTTTCATGCTTTTTTATTTAAAGCTTCATAAAGTTTCAAAGGTTGAAAACATTTTTAAAGTTATATAAAAACGAACTGATTTCTATAAGCATTACAATAACAGGACACATTACGTTTTTACACATTTTTAGAACATTACGTTTTTACACATTTTTAGAACTCATTTTATCAAATTCTGA